ATCTGACAATCTAGAACTCCTCCACGTTGCCGAGCTCGTGTCCAAATACCTGTTATCACTTATAATTCTTACTAGCGCCCTTTTGCTATAAGCTACACTATTGTCTTTACCTCCCCTGAAGACTCCTTCGTTGTTTTATTAGTGTCTAATACCAACTGCATCGATCATTCCTACTCTCAAAATGCTTGTCCACTAGTCCACCAATGCATGTCGCTTCAACTCACCACAACTCCTTAAAATCCACCCCAAATACTCAAGGCAATCACAATTGAGTTTTAGAAGTTTATTTTCTTGAAACTTTGTTGTGGCCAAGTGTTTTTCACAAAAACTAACCATATGTTTTGGATTGAAAATAATTTTTGCCTAAGGTCTATGAAAAATCACAAAGGACATTTTTTTTTTTTTTTTTTTTTTGATAGAAAAAGAGAGTACGATTTTATTGATTGAAAGTTGGTACAACAATTTGGAAGGAATGTGACAAAAATAATGGGCATTCCTATCTCCGTAAATAGGAGTCAATACATGTTAATGCATATTTTATATAATTCGTGCGCAACTTCATTCCCACTTCGACGGATCCAATAAATGGAAAATTCATTAAATCTGCCATTGCAATCCTTGATTTGGTTCATGAACGGGCCAACTTCAGAGAGGTCTTCTACATCTTTCCTTAAAGCATCGATAATCCATTTCGAATCTTCTTCTAAGATCAGCTTTGCATAAACCCTTTCACGTGCTAACCTGACTGCCAATGAAACAACCATTGCCTCAATATGTTCGATTTTCAATACCCCATAATTCTTCAACTTAAACCCAGCACAAACTTCCCATTGCAATCCCTAAAAACTATGTCAATACCTGAACAACCCATTTCATTGGATATAGCCTCCATCAAAAATAGCTTTAATGAAACCCGTAGGAGGGGCCACCCATTTAACCACTCCAGATGATGATGCCTCGTGTTGCATCTAAGGATTGTTTTCCTTATTCGCCCAAAATTGATTCAAATATGACTGAGCAAACTCAAACACTTGGCTAGGGGAACTAATGTCTTCACCCATCCGAATTCTATTCTTGTTAATACTATACTGCCCATAATATCACCAAAGCCAGACCCAATTTACCAGTGCAATTATCAATTGAAATTTTCAATATCCACTCCATAAACGAAGGATTTTGTAGTTGGGGAAGTTGTACTCCTAAACTTAACCACACCGCTTCAACAAAAGGGCAATGAAAAAATATATGCATAGCTGTTTCGTTTGGATCATCACACAATAAACAATCTGTTTCCACAAGGATTCTCTTTCTTCTTAAATTAAATTGAGTGGGTAGTATATCCTTAAATACCCTCCATACAAAATGTTTAATTTTGTTTGGGATTCTTAGGGACTAAATAAAATCCCCAGGCCATTTACCACCACTACTACTACTAGGGTCCTCACCACCAGTTTGCCTGCCCTTTAAGCCTTGATACATAATCAAATGAATGCACTCTCAACTGTAAAATTACCAGATTGAGTATAGTGCCATATTAGACGATTAGGAGGGGAATGATCACTTATAGGCATGGACTCAATCAGATCTACTTCAAATGGCAGAAACATCTGGTGTAGTAGATCACCCTTCCATCTTCCTTAGGCATGATCAATGAAGAAACTGACTTCAGTATAGTCAACTAGATCTGATAATGGGCTAAAAACTCTGAAAGTGAATGGTCTTGGAATCCATTTATCTGCTTTAACTCGAACACTTTGTTTGTCTCCTATTCTCCATCGTACACCTGCTGCTATAACTCTTATGGAGTCCAGAATGCTATACCAAGTAAATGACGGGTTGGTCCCTATCTGGGCTTCCAACAGGGAGATAAAAGGAAACTATTTAGCCTTTAAAAGCCTGAATGAAAAAGACTCAGGATTTTAAAGTAATTGCCAAAATTGTTTTGCTAGGAAAAACAAATTGAAACCACTCAAATCTTGAAACCTTAACCCTTCCTTAGATTTAGCAACANGAATGAAAAAGACTCAGGATTTTAAAGTAATTGCCAAAATTGTTTTGCTAGGAAAACCAAATTGAAACCACTCAAATCTCGAAACCTTAACCCTTCCTTAGATTTAGCAACACATAGCTTGTCCCCAAGCAATCCAGTGAATCTTCTTATCATTTGTACCATGACCCCACCAAAATTTAGCCAATAAACTATTTAGCTCACTACATAATGAAGTGCGAAGTTTAAAACATGACATTGCATAGGATGGTATAGCCTGCGCCACAGCTTTGATAAGAATTTCTTTCCCAGCTTTTGACAGTAACTTCTTTTTCTACCCTTGAATTTTTTGCCAGACCCTCTATCTAATGGACTGAAATATCTCCCTCTCAGATCTGCCAACCACCAAAGGGAGCCCCAGATACTTCTCATGACTCCCGCTAAATTTCCCAAAATTTCTGATATTCGAATCCTTTCAGGTAGCCCTACATTTCTACTAAACACCATAGCAGAATTTGCCAAATTTACCCTTTGCCTCGAGCCTTATCGTATAAATTAAGGCAATCTCTAACATTCCTTCCATTAGATTCATTAGCCTATGCAAAGAGAATGCTATCATCTGCAAATAATAGATGGGAAAAAAGAGGACCCTCACGACCTACCGCTAAACCNTCGTATAAATTAAGGCAATCTCTAACATTCCTTCCATTAGATTCATTAGCCTATGCGAAGAGAATGCTATCATCTGCAAATAATAGATGGGAAAAAAGAGGACCCTCACGACCTACCGCTAAAACCTGGATACGATTTCCTTCTTCAATAGACTTCAACAAGCCAGAGAAGCCTTCCGAACATACAAGAAAAAGGTATGGCGATAATGGATTGCCTTGCCTTAAACCTCTTTGAGGGTGGAAATAACCCACCTGCTCACCATTCATAACCACCGAAAATGAGACTGTTTTCACACAAGTCATGACAAGCTTCACCCATTTAGTATCAAAACCCAACTTATGCATGATTTTATCCAAAAAATCATTCCAACCTATCATACGCTTTGTCATTTCTAATTTTATAGACATGAAGCCCTTACCCACTTTCCTTTTCCCCTTTAAATAGTGATTTAACTCAAAAGCTACTAGGACATTATTAGTGATGAGCCTTCCTGACNTTTGTCATTTCTAATTTTATAGACATGAAGCCCTTACCCACTTTCCTTTTCCCCTTCAAATAGTGATTTAACTCAAAAGCTACTAGGACATTATTAGTGATGAGCCTTCCTGACACAAATGCACTTTGATACTCCGAGATGATACTAGGCAGAATTTTCTTTAAGCGATTGGCATGGATGTTGGCTCTGACTTTGTAAATAACATCACAAAGAGTGACGAGGTGAAATTGAGTCATATTCTCTAGTGAAGTCATTTTTTGGAATTAGAACTATATTTGTATAATTCAGTTTAGTGCAAAATTACCAAAATGCAGAAAGTCCAAAACATTCTGAACAATGACATCTCCAGTCACATTCCAAAATGTTTGGTAGAATTCTGCAGCCATACCATCAGGACCAGATGTCTTTCCTGGATGAAATTGATTGATAACTTATGTTACTTCCATAATCATGAACTCCCTCAGCAGCATCTGATTCATCTGTGTACTGACCTTCTGTGGAAAAGAACAAAGAACTTCTTCCATATCTGAAAATGAGGGATGACTCGAAGCAAAAAGATTCTGGACGAAATCCTTTGTTATTCTCCCCATCTAACTTGGATCCATAGTTCAAATACCTTTATTATCTTTCAATCCCATCACTAGGTTCCTCTTTCATCTCTTAGTTGCTTGGGCATGAAAGAACTTTTTAGCACAATCACATTCCTGTAGCCATAAAGCTTTTGACATTTGCCTCCACATGACTTCCTCTGCCTCTAACAAAAGGTGTGTATGGTCATGAAGGGCCTTTAGCTCCCTCTTCCCATTTTCATTCAAATCCAAATCTTGAAGTTGTCCATTTCAGTGTGTATTCATTTGCAATTGGTGCCCAGCATTACATAATTTCTCTTTATTCCATTTTATCAATCCAACTCTACATGCCTATATCTTATCCATGAATAGTTGTGCTAACGAGAGGTTCATCGGTGCCTTCCAACAAGACCGAATAATTTCAGTACATGTGGGATCTTTCACCCATATAGATTCAAACCTGAACCTCTTTTTCCTAGCCCCCTTCACCTCCTCATTATCCTCAAAAGCTATCTTAAACAGAATTTGGCAATGGTCTGAATTAGTGGTTGGTACATGAATTACCTTGGTTTTTGAGAATGTGACAACCGTGATATAGAGCCCCAAACTCTATCAAATCTTTATTTTACAAAATAGGGACCTAGACTACCATTCCACCAATTGTGTGCCTGACCCTTATAACCCAAGTCCACCAACTAACAGTAATCAATCGTTCTTTGATAGTCATGTCTTTGCCAAGCAGACCTAGCAGCTCCACCCCATTTCTCCTCATTAACAGTGATCTCATTGAAATATCCTCTGCATAGCCAAGGAATATCAGATCTCTCATATAATTTGGCCAATAATGATCAGGAGTTTTTTCCCATCCTTGAATTTGGGTACCCATAAAAGCTAACAAAACACCACTGAGCCGAAGGGCCCTCATTCATTATGGATTCGATGAAAATCTGAAAGCTTTTGATATTTACCTGACTATCTCTCTTCCATAGCAATGCTAATCCAACTGATTTTCCCCTTGAGTCGACAATAAGGCCTTGAGAAAAGTCTATCATNAATGCTAATCCAACTGATTTTCCCCTTGAGTCGACAATAAGGCCTTGAGAAAAGTCTATCATCTGTTGAATTCTCTTGAAAGCTTGTGTCCCTAATCTTGTTTCCATTAAAAATATTAGGGTGGGACCTTCTCTCTTCACTAAATCATGAAGACTTTGGACTATATGACGGTTCTTAAGCCACCGACAATTCCAGATCACACCCATCATAACTGTCGGTGGGGCTAAACATCAGCCTTCGCCATTGATCTCTGATTTGTTGAGATACCATCCGAAATACAAGCCCTCTTACTTGCCACACTTTCTCCTTCTATCAATTGAACAATCCCTCTCCTTTTGTCCCCCACTTGCACATCCCTAATTTCCCAATTCTCTGGTCTTGAAGGAGACCAAGAAACCTTAGCCCATTTACCCTTTTCTTTCCTCGTCGGCCCTCTTGTCTTACTCTTGTGGCCTGCCTTAGAAGGAACCAAATTTTGGGCCTCCTGTTCGCAAAATTCTAAGGTCATTTCCACACTTTAGGCCAATGCCCAATTTGGATAATTAGAGGCCTCAGAAGTTAAGCCCACTTCCACCAAATAAGACTCGTCTGGAATATCCACTAACATACTCTAGCCCACAAATACCTCTCCCACCTCCCAGCCATTTTGTTTCAAAACAACATCTATCTTCCTCTCAGTGCTAGTTGTTGCTCCATTATCGCCTTGTGTTGTGGTAATTGAATCTGAAATGTGCCTTTGATTGCTCAACATGCCATCAACATTTTTTATACTCTCTTTTCCAACTGTCGTACCACCCCCATTAGACTCCGCCATTACATCACTACTCCTTGTTTCATGCTTTAATTTATGCCCTTGATTACTATCCTCTTAACCATCGTCCTCTAGTATGCCACCACTAGAAAACCTCCCATAAAGACTTGTGGCTAAGGATTAGAATTGATTTACAAGCCATCACCCCCAATGAATGACAATTCTTTGATGTCTAGTAATTGAATCAACAACTCTAAGAATGTATGTGTAGGTTTTTTCCTCTCTTGGATGCATGCCTCTAACGAAATCTAGTTATATACAAATACCAAAGAGACCATAAAACTAGTTTTGATAGAATTTACTAGAGAAAGGAAAGAAAGGATTCTAAATCACCGACAATTGCTTGAGTGCCCCAAGCTCGTCCAAGTGCCAAACGAGGGAGTAACGAGCACGAGCTGCAAAAAAAAATAGAACTAGTTCGTAAACACCTCGCTTAGGACCAAAAAGAGCGGCAATTATTGATTGTTTTTTAAATCAGTCTAAATAATCTCATTTAATCCATTAAAGACTTTGTAACACCCAAAAATCCACTTTGGACAACATTACTATCTAAAACCACTCACATCATGAGAGCAACTAATAAAATTCATAAATAAAGAAAATTTCATTCATCATACTTAATATCTATAGCATCATCCAAAAGAATATGTCAAATCACGGTCATTACATTCAAAAGAATATACCAAACGATGGCAATTATACCTAAAAATCAAATATTATCTTGTAGCGGAATAAACAAAAAATCATCCATACATTGTCTCAAAATGTATCTCCTAGTCTAGGACATAAAGAGAAAAACTCTAGACATCTCCCTTGGGATCCATGCTTCCATCTAATTGAGCTTTCCAAGCTACCTGCTCATCAATTCTAAGCCCTTCCTCTAGACGAAAATCTGAAAATGTTGTTGTATGGGGATAAACACTAAACTCTGTAGAAAAATCCTCTCAAACTCGAACAAGCTTTAGAAACATACAAAACAAGGCAGTTTCATTTCACAAAAATAATATATAACTTTTGAAATAAAACAGTGACAATTCATCATATCTCAAGTTTACACAGTAGACATAATTTAAATGAGGAAGTAAAACCAATTTCAAACAATAAACCATTACCAGCAATTTCTTGTATCATTCCCCACAATGTACCATTACCCACATTATGTATCTGTATCCCCAATTGTATCTTCAAGTAGGAAGTAAGATTTCGCATGACTACACACATTAAGAATATTCTAGCACACACATACACCCAAACCTTGCAAAGATACACAACTTTAGGAAGGGCATATTCCGATGCATCGGCAATGACGAATCCAATCTAGGAAAAGTATAGTAACCCTCATCCTTGATACCACGTGAATGAATAATGATTTGGTCATCACAAGGCATTAACCCTACTACGAGTGGTAGGAAACCTTCAAACTCATATGAAGTAAGAAATACATCTATCCACTCTACGATACCCGGGCAACCGTCACCCTTGTTCATCCAAATAACCACACAAGAGATACAATACGAAACCAATTTCTCAAATCACAAGTAAATTAAGAACCCCCAATTCTCATGTATTTTTCCAATGAAACAATTTAAGAAAATATGCAAGAGATTATCAAATATATAATTTTTAATGTTCAAAAAAATAACTAGAGTTTTTAAATCAAGAACAAAGGAATATCAAGAGAAAAATCTCTATTTCTTGAAAAACTAGGTTTTGACATCATGAACATGAATTTTATGGTTATCAAACCATAACTTCACTCAAATCATGGTAAGGTTGCAAGATCATCAAGAAACAAGGATTCCATAGCATATATCTAAGATTGAGAGTCAAAACATACATATATATAAACCCTAGCATTAATGGACAAGAGTGAGAAGAAACCCCTACTTTTCATCCGTAGAGTTGTGTGAAAAACTAGAAGATTTGATCCACTTCAATATGAAAATACTCCTTGATTTTGTGTTTTTCCCCCTATTTCTTCCTCTCTAAGACTCACTAGGGTTAGGAATGGTGAAATAAGGTAAAGAGAGGTGTCCTTAAGTATTTATAGGGTGAGAAACATACCACTAATCGCTAATCTGATACTCAGGATTTTGACCTCATGTTCGAATGTCATTTGGCGTTCAAACATTAGTAGTGCAAATTATTGATTCACGTTCGAATGTCATTATGGCTTTCGAATGTTAGTTGGTCCCAGTACTTTTACTTTTTTCATTAGAGCTCTGCAAGCGCCAAAGTACCGGGACTCACTGTCGTTCGAACGTAGATTCACATTCGAACAGACTCTCAATTTTTGTTGAAACTTTCAGTGAATTTTTGAGGTATTTAGAGGTCGATTTAAAACAATTTTGTGATACCCTTTTGTAGCCCTGGAAGTCTAGTGTCTACTATAAAAATTTTAGATCAAATGAACTTCAAGGTAAAAAGTTATGGTCTAAATACTAAGGCAGTGTCAAAATTATTTCTACCCAAGTTCTATCAAAAATGTGTTTTAACTCCGGAACACTTCCTAACTTCTACCTTTACAAACTATATAGTTCATACTTCCCTCACTACATATATGAGCATTCCAAAATCATTATGTTATTATATAAAGACAAGAATGTTGGGGTTTACAATCCACCCCCTTAAAAAAGTTTCGTCCTCGAAACTTACCTTAAGTAGAGAACAAATTAAGGTATTTCTCTCGCATCTCCAGCTCTGGTTCCTAGGTAGCTTCCTCTACCATATGATATTGCTACAAGACTTTCACCAGTTGGATTACTTTATTGCGAAGTACCTTCTCCTTGGTATCGAGAATCTCTATCGGTTGTTTTTCATATGTTGTTCCATCTTGAATTTCAATTCCCTCCAAATCCACGACATGTGTTGTATCCGATTGACACTTTCTTAACATTGACATATGGAACACGTCATGTACCCTAGACAACTAGGCTGGTAACCAAAGTTAATACACTACTTTGCCCATAGCTTTGATCACTTCAAATGGTCTGGTGTACCTTGGGGCTAACTTCCCTTCTTGCCAAATCTAAACACTCCTTTCTTGGGTGACACCTTGATAAACACATATTCCCCCTCTTGGAATTCCAATGGTCTTCTTCTTATATCCGCATAGCTTTTCTATCTACTTTGAGCTATGCGTAATCTTTCCCTAATTAGTTGAATTTTCTTAGTAGCCTCCCAAACAATTTCTGGCCTAAATAGACTACTCTCTCCAGCTTCTAACCAACAAGTCGGGGACCTACATGGTCTCCCAAACAATGCCTCATAAAGTGTCATGTCAATGCTAGATTGAAAACTATTGTTATATGCAAATTTCACCAACGGTAAATGATCACTGTAATTTCCTTTGAAGTCCAACCCATAAGCTCGTAACATGTCCTCCAAAATTTGTATCACCCTCTTGGATTAGCCATTTGTTTGAGGATGAAAGGCGGTGCTAAAGTGCAACTCTGTCCCCATAGCTCGTTGTAGACTTTACCAAAATTGCACCACAAAACGAGAATCACGATCCGACACAATAGAGAGTGGAACTCCATGTAATCTAACAATCTCACGAATATAAAGCTTGTTAAAGGTCTCTAAAGTGTCAGTGGTTTTCATACTCAAGAAATGAGCGGACTTGGTTAGTCTATCTATAATGACCCATACGACATTATGCCCTCGTGACGTCCGTGGAAAACCAGACACGAAATCCATGGTGATGCGATCCCACTTCCACTCTGGGATAGGTAAGGACTGTAGTAATCCTCTAGGTTTTTGATGCTCCACCTTCACCTGCTAACCCACCATGCACTTTGCAACGTACTTAGCCATGTCTTGTTTCATCCTTTTCCACCAATATTGACGCTTCATGTCTGTATACATCTTAGTACTACCTGGATGTATGGAGAATTTTGAACGATAGCACTCACCCAACACTTCTTCCCTTACTTGGTCATTGTTTGGTACACATAGTCTTTTACGAAACTGTAACTCATCATTATGTACTGACCAGTTCTCAATCATCTCATTCGTCTCCAATCTACCCCGAATAGTGCTCAACTTTGTATCTAATCTTTGTAACTCCACAATCTTTTGTCAGAGAATTGGTTGAGCCACAAGATTAAAAAAGCATGTCGGTCCTCTTGTGTATCCACTAATAGATTAAATTCCTCCAAAACATCCATCATCTTCCACCTATTAATAGCAAGAACATTGATTTCATCCCGAGACTTTCTGTTAAATGCATCTGCTACTACATTAGCCTTCCCTAGATGGTAGTTGAGTGTGAAATCGTAATCTTTTAGATATTCAATCCACCTTTTTTGCCGAAGATTCAAGTCTTTCTGTGTGAATATATACTTGAGGCTCTCATGATTAGAAAATACTTGAAAATTTTCTCCATATAGCTAACACCTCTACAACTTAAGAGCAAAAATCACAGCAACAAGCTCCATGTCGTGAGTGGGATAGTTCTGCTCATAAATCTTTAGTTGTCTCGAGTCATAAGTAACTACCTTACCTCCCTGCATTAGCACACATCCCAAGCCTCATAATGAAGTATCTGTGTAAACATTGTATCCTTCCCCACTACTCGGAATAATAAGAATAGGAGTTGTTGTCAACCTTTCCTTCAAGGTGCGAAAGACTAGTTCACACTCTTGAGTCCACATGAATCTTTCCCCTTTCGTCATAAGGCGAGTCATTGGCATCGCTAGTTTTGAGAAACCTTCCACAAACCTCCAATAGTAGTCTGCTAAGCCTAGGAAACTTCGTACTTCGGTCACATTCTTTGGTGGTTCCCACTGCATTACTGCTTCAATCTTTGTGGGGTCAATAGCTACACCCTGTTCTGACACAACATGGCCAAGGAATTTCACTTCCTTCATCCAGAACTCATATTTACTCATCTTAGCGTATAACTTATGCTCTCTCAAGATTTGAAGCACTACTGAAGGATAGTGTTCATGTTCCCCTTGTGTCCATGAATAGATTAATATGTCATCAATTAATGCAATGAT